TCATGCTCTATTTATCAAAATAACATCTTATCCATAATGGAATTATACTCTATCACAGTGCCCAAGTTTTATACTTATATCAGGTCTAGGTGATCTATACACAGGAGAGATCAGTTTGACGAATTCAGAACAGACACACGTGGCGGAATATTCATCTTGACTTAGGCCTAAGATTCAGTTGGATGGGTCCTTTAACTGTTAAGGCAGGCTTATTTAAATGTTTAACAAACCGAGCAGTGGCACTAAGTAGCACAAAAAAGATCTAAATGATGAATTAAAACAGATAGAAGAAGCGTTGGTGTTGAATAACTATCCTATAAAATTCATTAGGAAGATCATTAAAGGCCAAAAACAAAATAAAAATAATTGTGAAACTAGTAATAATAACATAAATAAGAAAGAATATAAGTCATCCACAGTTATACCATATAAAGAGGGGACATCTGAGACACAACGTAGGATTCTGAATAAAATAGGAATTAGGGTGGCATTTAAACCTACAAACTCACTCACGGACAAGCTCTGTAGGTTAAAGGACCCTGTCGGTTGACCCAATTAGACAAAATAATATTATTTACAAAATACCATGCAATGACTGTGAGGTCAACTACATAGGTCAAACTAGTAGGTCAGGGGTAGTCAGATTGTCAGAGCATAAGAATTTAGCTAAGGTAAAAATGGTTGACCCCGAGAAGATAAGTAATTTAGAAAAAAGCTCAGCAATTGCAATGCATGCGCTAACACACAACCACACAATAGGGTGGGAGAGGGTTAAAATTCTAAAAAGTAATCTAGGTAGGTGGAGAGAGAGACAGGTTGATTACTGAATCCTTGTTCATCGAGTCTACACCCAACACATGCAATAGGAATGACTCGTCACTCATACCTGAAATATGGAAAATACTATTACCAATCAAATCAAGTGAAAATCAAGAGAAAAACAATGGAACTATATAAATGAATTTAGGAAGTCGTGTGATTACCTTGATATGATTATGAGCAATAAATTGTGCTCGAAACGTCATCAGTAAACATTACTGTATAACACTGTGAGACTTTATCAAAACAAAATTTACCCATAATGGAATTACACTCTACCACAGTGCACAAGTTTTATTCTTATATTAATGATACTCACTAACATCTCGAAACGACACAGATAGGCGGGGAATCTAGACAAAGGTGAAAGGCTGTCGAAGATGAAGAAGTCAAGGTCAGCGAAGTCAAAATACAGGAGACTATGTATAAAAAATAAAAGTAAGGTAGGAAGGAGACAAGTTACTTGAGGCAACAATATTACTTCAAATCATTGTGTAATAGCGCGCGATAAGTTTAGTCGATAATTTTTTGCTTCATTTGATTTATTGTGTGAGGGCTGAGATACTGTCCGGGCGCCCAAACCGAAGCAGGTAGTTTCATTAAGGGACCACCCCCGGGCCTTTGACCTGGAGTCTAATCCGCAAGGCAGCGGAGCACCGTCAGGAGCTGCATTCTCATGGTTTCCCGTGACCCATATGACTACCTAGAAGCTATTACACCAATAATCTCAGTAAGCTGAAGATGCAGTGAACGATAATCAAAGCTTTGAAGTTAAACCATCCAGCTCACAGAACCCCACATTACCAAAAATAGCCACCTGGGCTGCGAATCTCCGATAAGTCAAAATATGAAAGGTGTCAGATTAAAGTGGGTGTGAGGTTTTTCCAGAACTTACTGAAGGTTGAAGATTCAGTCAACGCATCTTTTTAGTCTGAAACGTCTCTACATTCCTTTGAATGTATTTCGTTTCCGTGCTCTACTTTTTCTCCGCATGACTACGAAACATAAGATCTTACATACAATATTATTATTATTATATCCTTTAATTCCTAGAGGAAAATAGCGCTCAAGCTGCACGTCTCCATTGCCTTCGGTTTTCTGCGAACTTTTTCACCCCGCTCCAAGTCTGCCCACATGCGTTTTTTCGTTAATCAGGTTTAGGTATACGGAGTTGAGATTAAAAGGTCAAAAGTCATCAAAACAATTCACTAACTTATAGACAGATGTTAGCAACAAGATATCTAAGTTCTGAAGCAGGAGTGAAAATCAATTACAGAATTCAAGATAAGTTAGGCGTTAGCAAGCAACAAGTTATTACATAATCAAGAAATTTGTAAAATAGCAATGATGACTAAGGAGAATAGGATGACTCCTCAGTGGGATTACGTAAGATACAAACAAATCATTAGAATTAGCTAGAGCTGTGTACCTAAAACTGATTAACGAAAAAAACCCACTTGACTGGTAAAAAAACAAATTTGATGTTAAAAACTACATATTAGTTTAGAGCTGATGATCAGGAACTACTAATTAGTAAGGAACATATTTCATCTATGTTAACCTGACGACTTGAGCCGTACAGCTTATCATCAGATAATTGATTTATCGCAATATCCAGAGCTTGTACGATTCACAGCTGAGATTATCACTACTGTGTTGTAACAGTAAAAGTGTTTTTACAATTCTACAGACCACCAACCACTATAAATCATCCTAAGAGGGCTATGACAGGAATATGCCATTTATAATGTCACCATCTCACCACACTCTACCAAACAACTAGGAACCTACCTATCGGGAAAAACTTCGACACAGATTAAGCCAGTAAAGGATGACAATGGAAAGTCAGTCACCAAAGAGGCGGAGCAAAGAAAACACTGGGCTGAGCACTTCAAAAGACTTCTAAATCGTCCGCCACCTACAACGCGCCCAACAATACCAACAACGGAAGCAGAACTACCAGTGAACATTGACCCCCTCCCCCACCCGGACGAAATCAGAAGTTCTGAAGACAATCAAGATGCTAAAAGCTGAAAAAGAAGCAGGACCAGATGGAATCCCGGCAGAAGCTTTGAAAATCGACCCAGAGACAACAGCGGACTTGATGACGCCATCGCTGGAGAAGGTGTGGAAAGAAAGAGGGCAAAGTACCTGAGGATTGGAAGAAAGGATACTTATTCAAACTACCAAAGAAAGGAGTCTTAAGTCAATGCAAAAACTGGCGCGGAATTATGCTCCTGTCGATTCCAAGCAAAATACTTAGCCGAATCATCCTGGAGAGAATCAAACACGCCAACCTGGATGAAAAACTTCGACCGGAACAAGCTGCATGGATTCAGGAGAAACAAGTCATGTGTTGATCAAATCGCCACTCTACGGATCATCATTGAACAAAGCTTGGAATGGAAGTCACCTCTCCACTTCACTCAACTTCATCGACTTTGAAAAGGCCTTCGACAGAGCAGTGTCGACCGAGAGGTCATTTGGAAACTACTTCGCTACTACCAAGGGGTCCCATCGACAATTATACATCTCATCTCATCTCATCCAACAGTTATACGACAACGCTGCATGCCAAGTAATCCACAATGGGAAACTTACGGAAGCCTTCGAAGTGAGGACGGGAGTGAGGCAAGCTGGCTGTCTACTATCGCCAATGATCTTCCTGATTGCAGTAGATTGGATAATGCGACAGACAACGGCAACCAACGAGGGAACGGGCATAAAATGGACTGACACAAAAGACTCGGAGGATCTGGATTTCGCCGATGATATATGTCTGATCTCCCACAAACTGGAAGATATGCAAGTGAAAAGCAACAAGTTGGCAGAAGAAGCATCAAAGATAGAACTTCAAGTGAACATAGATAAAACAGAGGTGATGAAGATTCCTAGCCAACATCAACAGACAACAATCAGCATAAATGGGAAGAACCTGAAAGAAACAGCCTCCTTCACCTACCGACATGGGAAGCATCGTTCCAACTACAGACCGACGGAACTGAAGAGGATATCAAAGCCAGAATCGGAAAAGCAAGACAAGCTTTCTTTACTCTCAAATCTGTGTGGAGGTCAACAGCACTCACCATCAAAAATAAGATCCGGATTTTCAACTCCAATGTAAAGTCAGTGCTACTATACGGATCAGAGACTTGGCGAGTCATAAAGAGCATCTCGAACAAACTTCAGACCTTCATTAACAGTTGTCTCCGCTCAATACCACTCAAGATCAGATGGCCGACCAGAAAAGATCAGCAACAGGGATCTCTGGGAGCGAACCAATCAGGAACCGATTGTGAAACAAATAGGCAGGAAGAAATGGAGATGGATTGGCTGGCCATACGCTGAGGAAACCATCAAGTGACATCACTAGACAAGCCATCTCTCGAGTGGAACCCGAAACGGAAGCGGGCGGCGAGTTGGTCGTCAGTGCAAGTGTGACTTGGAGGAGGTTATGTGAAGAGGAGATGAAAGCATGTGGGCAGACTTGGAGCGGGGTGAAAAAGTTAGCAGAAAACAGAAGGCAATAGAGACGCGTGGCTGAAGCCCTATGTTTCTCCAGGAATTAAAGGATGTAATAATAATAATAATAATGTCACCGCCTTACAGTTTCTCATAATCATCTAATTTTCAAAATAATGGATACTGAACAAAGAGTACTCTTTTCGATAAATTCATCATCAGGTTCTAATTACTAGGCACTTTCAGTAGACGTAACTAAAACATTTTGTCATCTTTTCCTTAATTCTTCATGTTTAGGTTAATAAACAAATTCCCATTCACGCATAGATTAGAGCTATTCAACTTAAAAAAGAGATGCCTTTCCAGAAACATGACCACACGTTTTAAATCCTCACTAATTACAAGCTTAGGGACTTCATCATAACTTTGCGCCTTATTCGTTACTCTTCGATAAAGAGAAGAACACTCTTATCATTGGGGAGAATTTATCGACACTGATTAATCGAATAATTTCAGCATTTATATGCGCCATTATAGAAAGACCTATTGCATTACAGTATGATGGTAAGGTGTTTCATTTCATTTTGAATACTTATCATGCAACAAAATATTTAGGATAAAAAAAGAACTACATAATAATAATAATAATAATCATAATAATAATAATGCAATTAGTCTTCTTTTGCATGATAATTTCTAAGATACAAAGATTAGCTCACATCTTTAGATGGAGGTATCGACACAGTTAGTTTTTCCACATAATTTGCAAATGGACCCAAGCCTAATACTTCAAACGGCACTTGAAGAGCACTACAACAACTCTGAGAACTTAACAGTGCAGAAGAAAGTTGACGACCACCCGAAGCAGCTTCAGTATCCAAAAAAGAGCTTATACCAGTCACTGGGAGACCATATGGTAGTCTTCCATCTGAGCATACATCAGAAGATGAGCAAAGTCCGTTAAGAACAGTAACCTTGAAATAAAAAAAAAAATGATTAAGTGTAATAAGAAATAATTTAACAGATATCATCAACTGACAGTAACAAAAAATGATTGACTGAGCCAGTGGTGGTAAAAAAAAATATGGCTTCATCACTCAGTCAAATCCATAACAGTTAGTTTAAGCCAACCAGCCAGCCACGTAGGGACGTGTACACTTTTTGGCTGGTTGGGGTCCTCAGGATACTAAGAACCTGTGAAGGCTGGAGACATTTCATGATATGGCTCAAAATCTTTCTCAATGCATAGTGCAGATGCATTCACTCCTTGTGACTTATAATATCATATAAAACTCTATTGTTCTGCCATATTACTATTGTTTTTGCCTCATGTTTCTCTTTACTATCTCTTCTTTGAATCTCTAACCTCTTCTATTGCTTTGTATGCTACATGGAGGAATTGTGGCATATTTGTGCAAAGTTCTACGCTGAAACCAGTCAGTCATTGACTGAACGATGGTGATTTATACACCAGCTGAAGTCTCTATACTTTATAATACCATGGTGACAGATATGCAGTCAATAGAAAACATGGAGGCGACATCGATTTTACATGTGCAGTTTAATATTGCATGAAAACAAGACATTTCACAAACATTAAAATATGAGCACATAAACAACCACAGAACTCGTTCCGCATGCACCAATTCTTTTTAAAAATCATGAATAAACCATAAATATAAGGCTGTTTTTGTTTCTATGCACTTCTACCATTACATTTGTTACTCTATGAAGTACAGCGACTTGCATGCAAAGTTCTATGTTGAAAACACAATAACAGACAAAAACACTTTTCAAAGTCCTCTACGTAAAAGCAAATTTAGTCATTATTTTGATTCTGATCATGGTTATTACCGATTTTATAAAGAAAACATTATTTAGAAATGAGAGAGTTCCGAATGGAACATAAGGCTTCAACAGCACACTTCCACTTTGTCCTATTCTCTGTGGTTCTCTCTAGCATTGCCAACAATCTCTGGTCTCCTTCATGTCACCCTCAGATGACTCATTCGTCTTTTCCCATTCAGGTACCACTCAACAGCTTGGCACGTGACGTCACCTGGTGCTCTCAACGTGTGCCTAGTCCATCTTTATTTTCTTCCATATATTTGTTGAGCTCTAGGTTCTTGATCTGTTCGTTCTCAGAGTTCCTTGTTGGTAATTGTTTCTGGCCATTTGACCTTCTCACTATGGAACCAGACAGGAGAGTTATTGCTAAAAGTTTCCAACCTGTTCCAGATGCTTTTACGTGACGCATCAAGTTTCTAATACATATAAAAGTGACTTCACATTGGTGTTTAGAATCCGGACCTTGTTCTTTATGCTGAATTCAGGAGATTTCCAAACCGATTTCAGAGTGATGAAAGTTTCCAGATGAAAACGAACTCCAACAACTGAGAGAGTAAGTAATGAGTAAATAGTCACATGGCAGTTTTTGGGTCAGTGTCACTATATATATATATATATATATATATATATATATATATATATATATATATATGTCATCAATGGAGTTCTCAAAGATCCATTTGCTTTGGAGTTGATTTTGACGGCATGGCGTATATTGATAATCACAGCTTCGCAATTAGATAAACAAAGTCAACAACAGCAAAATAATCCCATTAAATCAGTATCATTACTTATAGTTAAAAATATACGATACTTTTTTATTGATTGTTGATTATTCTCTTTTATCTAAGTTGTGGTTAATGCATATTTCGTTTTGAAACAAAAACCATAACAGAGTTTAAAAAATGTAACTAAAAACAATGTAGTGACGTCAAAAGAAATGTCGACATTAACTAGAAAGAGAGTAAACCTTTTAATGTTGAGGTGGAAAACAAAAACTCTTTAAACTCATACAGAATTGCATTTTACTGGTTCAATATCATTTGTATATGTTCCATTTGAGTTCTGAATGGAACATGGGGCATTCAAGCTCGAGCTTTGAAGTTTCAGTAGCAGTGGAGTTTTTTATACGGGGTGAGGCTACTAGACTCAAGCCCAACCTTACTTTTTCTTGTCTTGATTCCTACTGGTTAGGCGAAGTTTACCGTCTCACTGACTGGTTTCAACACAGGACGTTGCACAGATGTGCTGCAGTTCGAGTCACTACATTCCATGTGGCACACAAAACAAGACATAAGAGAAAACACAGATTCGAAAGAACTACAATAAACAGGAATGTGGGGAAGAAAGGATAGTAAAACGGTGAAATAACAGGGTTTAGAGGGTGTGGGAAATCACAAAGAGTGAATGCATTTGTGCCATCAATGAGAACAATTTCCAGTCACATCACTAATTGTCTTCAGCCATTGGTTGGTTCTGAACATTCCCATGACCCCAACCAGGCATTTTACACCTCCCTACATGCCTCAACCTAATTGTGAAAGATTTCATACATGAGTGCTGTTTCCATGTGATAAATCCTAGTTCTTTTCCAACCTGACCCTATGTCAGAGGCTAACATTGCTCATCGTTGAGGGTAATGGGATTCGGTATGCGTAGCATTTCTCTTAATCACCTCAGTCACTGTAGCTTCAGAATCCCATGTATTGACTTACCCTCCTGAACCAACACTCTAAGCATAGCCTCGAAATTACTCACCATACTGCCCAACTGATCACGGGAGAGAGCGAACACCTATGGTGAAAGTCAACTAGCCTGTTCATTTCTTCACTTTTAATGGCCTTACAGACATGAAAAAGGATGGAGAGAACTGTTGAGTAGTATACACGTCATTTGATCGATAGCCGGATATCACGTCTATGACAGAGTTCGTGTAAGTTGGTATATATTATGCGACCCTTTTGTACTTGTTCTGAGACTCTGTCAGAGATCAGTTTATTGGGGATGATGAAACTTTCCAAATAAGTGAAGTCCTCAACACGCTCAGATACCACTCCACTCCCTATCTCTAGGCTAACAGTCAGTCCTGTAGCATCATTTTACATGTGACAGGAGCGAGTCGCATGCCAAACATTCCAAAATTGCTGCTCAAGGTGTTCATAAGACTCTGCATTTTGTCAGCGTCTGTCCACCTAGGAGAGAGGACTATATCATATGCATATTTTGAGTCAGCGAGATTATAGTCTGGTAACAAGTCGATCCCTGAGTCAGTGAAGTCAGTTAGAGTTAAGTCGATTAGTACATGTATAATAAAATTGCATAAAAATGGGGATAATAGAGTGAGGTTTAAAAGTGAGTTTGCTCGAGGGTCGAGTACCACCACGTGAGTGGTGAATATTCTACCATGTATATGTCAGATCACTACCGATTAATAAAAGCAATAACATGAACCATAATTTCTTACAATGAATAATGCATACGCCTCACCCGTGATGGCCTATCTAAGGGAGAGGTCAGTATGCCGTTTTATTATGCTACGATATTATAATTATTATTATGCATAATATACAAGGTAGAAAAATACATACCTTGATAAAGTATGGATCTGCATCGATAGAATTAAGGAATAATTGAGCCGATGGTTGGTCATGAGAATTCAGCGAAACAACGAACAGGTCTAGAATGCTCTGTAAGGAGAGAAAAGAAATCCTTATAACAAAATGTACACAGGGAAAACAGACTGTCAAGTAAAATTAGCTGCAATTCATATGTGAGAATTTACAAAGGCAATTGCGAAGCAACAGTCATTGAAATCATTTGTCCTATAAGTAAAATCTTATTCGTGCCTTATCACGGTAACTATATTTATCAATATATCACAGAATAAGTTACAGAACCTTGAAGTAACGGGCTTATCAGTGACAACGCTGAAATACTTTCAAATAGATGGGGTCCGGAATTTAACTTTTTCCTTAGGATGTGAATACTCGAGGTTTATCTTCATTGTTTACTTTTAAGCACGCTTAAAACAACAACAACAAGACAGTTTCTGTAAGTCTCTAAACACTGGAATTTCATACTGATACATATACAGATGCTGTATCTCTGATATCAATGGTAGTATTTGAATTGGTTTGTCAAAAGTAAAGTTTACAAGATTTTTCGGGGAAAACAAAGCTAAGTTATTCGTATATGTTCCGGTGTGCCAAGTTTCTAAATGAATTCGTGCTTCGGCAAAAGCGTTTAAGTTTTTAATAAGACAAAACAATCTTTTATTCTTTGTAAGTGAAAATTTAGACAGTATACTTGTCGATATCAAAATAAAACTAAAGGATACATTTGAATAAGGCATTTAGAAGACAAATTTCGCGAGATGATATCATATCATATTTTCTGTACTATCGTTTTATAACTAGCACGGTTCACAATAATAAAATAAAAGGCATGACAATTACTCAGTTATATAAAACAATAGTACATACATTCTGATTGACAGGCATTTGGACTCATGTGAAAAATGGGCTAAATCCATTCTGTCTATTCAACTCGCACCACCCTCTTCATTCACAACTCTCCCCTTGTATCTCATCAGGTAAAACAAGAAGCCTATATAGGAAACTATATGCTCGCACTAGCAAGAACAAAAACTCAACCATACCCTACTTACTCAGGGATTGACTTGCTACCTGGGAATAATCTCGTTGACTTGGAATATGCAGACGATATAGTCCTTCTAGGCGAAGACGCTGACGAAATGCAGAGTCTTCTAAACACCTTGAGCCGCAATCTACGAATGTTTGGCATGCGATTCGCTCCTGCCAAATGCAAGATGATGTTACAAAACTGGACTACACTGACTCCTAGATTAGAAATAGGAAGTGAAGTGGTAGAGCACGTTGACCGCTTCACTTATTTGGGAAGTACCATCAGCCCCAACGGGTTGATCTCTGACGAAATCTCAGCACGAATACAAGGGGCTCGTTTCGCATTTGTTAGTTTACGCCGACTCTGGCGTAGACGAGATGTTCGACTATCGACCAAAGGGCGGGTGTATTGCTCATCAGTCCGCTCCGTCCTCCTTTATGGTTGTGAGACCTGGCCACTGAGAGTGGAAGACATGAAAAAGGTGACTAGCTGTCTTTGATCATAGGTGCCTGCGCTCTATTTCCCGTGTGAAGTGGCATAATAAGGTGAGCAACATGGAGGTTAGGCTCAGAGTTCTAGGTAAACAGGGGAAATCAATCGACGAAGTCGTGAAGCTACAAAGACTGAGATGGTTAGGACATGTGTTACGTATGCCAAGTCATCGCCTCCCTCGACGAGCAATGTTAGCGGATATAGGGTCAGGCTGGAAAAAAGCTAGCGGCGGTCAAACAAAAACTTGGCCCCACCAGTCAATGAAATCCACAACAGTTGGTCTAAGCCAGTCACATAGGAAGGTGTAGACTTCCAGGCTGGGGTCCTCGGGACGGTAAAAATCTATGGTTGGAAACAATTGGTGACATGGCTCAAAATCGTTCTCAATGCTCAGCGCAGATGCATCCACTCCTCGTGACTTATGATCTCCAATGAAACTGTTTTGTTCTTCGTTACTACTATTCCTTTGTCTCACACCTCTGTTTACTGTCTCTATTATGCCTTTCTTGTACTTTCTTCTCTTACTTTGCGTGCTACACGGAATGTGGCGACTTGAACTTCCGCACATTTGTGCAAAGTTCTATGTTGAAAACAGACAGACAGACTACTTAGCTCGCGTTCTGTGCGATAAAGAATGCATTAGGCGTGATACCTATAACTTATTAAATATTCAGTAGAACAACTGGATCTCGTCTTTCCAACTCATATCATTTATAGGTACAACGTTTTCTTTCTTTCTTTTCCTTTTCTCCCTCTTTTTTCTCTGTTATGTGCTGCTTTGTTTCTTTCTTCCTTACAAACTTTACTTAAAACATTCATCTTCGTCCTGTCACACTCCCTATATCTCGATATTTTTGTTACCGCTTACGCCAGTAAATATGCTAGTATCTACTTTTCTAACGCCCTTGAAACACTGTTGAATTTTGGCTTTGCCATCGACATGCTAATATGTTATTGTCACAACGAACTGAGATTACCCTTAATCTACGTAGAATTTCATTTATTGTTAATGTACCGACTGAATGCAATACCGTAGTGAAATGCTGAGAATTCCATTCTGTATCACAAGTACTGTTTTGGAATAAAGCAAATTACTATTACTATTATTAATGTCCAATCTTATTTATATAGGTCAAGTAACCTATGTTAGGAGAAGGGTATAAATAATGAAACTGGTGGTCAAAGACACGCCGATGTTGACTAAGTTGTACACACATTTGGGAGACACAAAAATTACCTATTCAACTATTTTCCCATTTAATCCTTGTAGTATAACCTCAGGAATATTATGGTGGCTATACATAGCTAGAAGTGACACACAGTTACATTATGTTTAGGTATAATGTGGTATTGTAGTGTGATACAGACAATGTCTGCCAACGGAATATCATGGTCACATGTTCCCACAGTTCAATACTGCATACAATATATCTATTTAAACATTCTATTTGATGTTGTTTGATGTAAACTGAAATCACAAACTCGGTGATAGGCTAACGATTATGCACTGTAGATATATAAACAGCGATTTGGTCATTGAGAGATACACTTTGGCTCCCGTGTTTTGCATTCTTTTGTTACAGAATTATGAACGAGGTTTATTCAGCAGTTAGTCGTACAACTCTATGATGATTGGTCGAAAATTAACAGAAGTAAGCCATTAGTATGCACTTATGCGTAGTGGTCTACGACGGACCAGAATACCACACATAAATGTCAAGGAAAGGAAAATACTTGACAAGATGAGCTCAATATCGATGCTATCACAGTGATCACATAAATAATTCTCTGGTTCTCAAGATGGTAAACTTTACTATTTGTCACAAAACACAACTTAGATCACAAACTTAAGATGTATATATTTTTTTCGTATGCAAGGGATGTTACTAACAGATAAAAGGAGACAGTCTCTTTCTTTTTCGGTCTTATTATCAACTATAAGATGGCTAGGAAAAACGTTTGTGGATACATTTCAAACCAACTTTTAAACATGTGAAGGCAAAAGTTATCCGTAAAGTTACTGCACATTTAGTACCGGTTTAATTCAGTAGTAGAAAATTGCTACTGAAAGAATACGTATTTTCTTAGTGAAGAAAAATAACAACAGTTCTCGACTTCCTATCAATGAATTTGAAATGAATGCATACAGACAATAATATTTTGGACAAAAGTGAAGATTAGATACGAAAGCCTTTAACCGACCAATCAGATCACTCCACATTACAAATGCTTCGTTGCGAGTTTAGGTTAAGGTTAGGGTGAAACTTACAACGATGATTATGGGTAGCATTCATCTGAAATACTCAACGGTGTAACTATCATGATCAGGTGGTAATCATCATAAAGTTAATCATCCATCAGAATCCGTGGGTCCCATAACTCATACACATGTAGACTATCGCTTATTTGCTATAGCCACTCCTATAGAAAACTGAGATCTCTTTGAGGTATACTGGAGATGTATACTGTATATAACGTATTCAGTGAGCATAATTTGATGTACTATAAATACCACTTTCTGCCAGTACATGACTGTCTAGTACGCTGACACTTAACTGTGGTAACTATGTGGTGAGGGTAGGCCGCTAGCCAATTGGTAGACATTAATTTACGTCAGTGTCTAGGTCACTAATATTGGCCGTGGGAAAATATGAACAAGGCTGATTCAACAACCAATCACAGCAGAATTAACGTGGGCAAACAAGATTCGCAGATATATGGCTTAATTTTCCGAGAAACCCGAAACAACCAATCAGAAGACTGTGTTTGTCTGCTTGAATAAGCTATAATAATATACATGAAATAAATATTTTTTTATTACACCTGATTCCACACTGTATTTTTGGTACAAGTATGGAATTTTCAGCATGGATATCGGTAGCCCAAATTTTACAGGCCGATCACAGATATCAGGTGTGCGTCGGCGGGGGATCGAACCTTGGCCTATGTGCATGGTCGGCGAGAGTCCTAACCACTGTGCCACTGACGTGATTTCCGTAATAAAAACGATCTGTTGCCGACCCTTGTCTTCTGTTGTTACAACTATTCTTTACTGTTGCCATATTTCGAGCAAGATTGCTATTTATCACTACATCAATCGTTGGAATTCTGAACTCGAAATATTATCAAAGTTAACAAACATATCATTGTTTGTCGGCAATTATTGCTAATTCATTCAATCGACAAGTTGGAAACTCGCCATGTGTATGAACAGTCTTCAAGGTTTTCTCGACAAAATCAAGCTTGATGGTTTTTAAATAACTTAATAAAAAATATGTAAGATATAAATAATGTGGACAACATCCAGAATGCATTAATAATATAGAAGCGCTAACCAATAAAAATGGAAAATAAAGGCATCATTCCCTTGCTGCTTGTGATAAAAGAATGTACGGTAAGTGCCGAATAATTTAAGTTTACTACAATGACCATCACGACACATAAGATGCTACACTTAAATCTTCATGAACTTTAACTAATAACACCAGGAATTAATCATCAAATCACTGATTCAATTCTTACATCATCAGTTTGATCAAAGAAGGCCAACTGGCGTATTCTTTTATTATCCGGTGGTAATTCAACACCAGATAGTAAAGTAAGTTGGAAAGTAAGAACTCCGCGTGAGTTAAATCCTTGATTAATGAATACTGCTGGATAAGTTCCTGTAGCTTGACCACTTTTTGTGTAGCTTGTAACTCCCATAGCAAAATCAGGTTTGCCATCCATGTTGACATCACCTACAGTCGGACCAACTAGAGAACTTGTAAGTAAAGCGCTGGACTTTATTTGTGGAATCGATGTTAAAGACCATTTGACTTCACTGTCTTCCTTGGCATTTGAAGGTTGCCAGTTTATGTCAATAGGGGACCACTAAAATTGATGCATATGGAAAGGCAAAAAAAAGAACAACACTTTATATGTGATTGAAGCTCATATCAACAGTAACCTCAAAACATAAAAATTAATACAACAGAAAGATGAAAATCAATAAATTTAAAGGCATACTCTACAACATATTACTACTAATATGTTAATATATATAAGTATTTTTCTTATATAACTTAGAGAAAATGTGACGTCTGAACGACTGATTTGTTCAAGTTAATTTTGTATTTGCTGCCGAAATGTTCAGTATCTGTTGATTTCTCGGCTGCTAGTATACGGATGCTTTGATGATGATATTTGGTGGATGATGACTAGCTATGAAATTCAGGATGTGAATTTCGTTCTATTTTGGGACTCATTAGATGGATGTACTTGTAATCTACAGTGAGTGATCGTGTTCCCACTGAGACTAGAGCCCAGTACACACCGTTTCAAACGCCAAAGTTTTATCCACTAGGCCAACTGGGTAACAAGAGTCACCTCTTCTGCAATGACTATCTCTTATTTGTTCAAGTTAATTTTATTGATTGATTATGTTGGACTGAAATGTACGGGCCTCTGTTGCTCTGTCTTCTCCACGGCTAGTAACCACCAGTGAGTAGTTTATCTCTGTCGCCATAAAATTATGCTGCTACAAACAAAATAAAGAGATGAAATAATAAAAATAATAATAATAACAGTTTTCAAATGTCAACGCCAAGATACCTCAGAGAACCAGTAGGTTTTATTTTACAGAAATGAGCATATTTAAATTCCAGTAGAAGCGATAAATGCATCATGTTTCCCCATTTCATCCCATATCTACATACTCATAAGCGGCTTATGAAAGCGTTGCAGTTAAATATGCTAAAAAGAATAGCAGTATACGACAACAGATGCTTTTTTCTCACGGAACCATAAGTATGTGTAACAACTTGGATTCAATCTAATTAATGATGACTTTTGATATCTAAGCGAAATATATACCAATACGAAGTAATATACGCATTAAACTGTTAAACTAACTTTTTTATTTTTAAAGGAATACATATACATGTAACTAGAGTCCAAACAATTAGCATCTGTACACACAGGTAGCAGTAAATCAATTGATCCATCGTAGTCTGAAACAGATATACAGTAGAAAAGTAGACAAGAAAGAGAAAGCTGTGAACAGAGTAATATATATATATATATATACGAATAATTGGTTTGTGCAAATTCATTCGATCGACTTCGATGTGAACTAGTAACACCCTAAAAGCAATACTGAAAATCAGAGAGGATAATGAAAATCTGTTTCAACTGTTCCAATTTGAAACTCCTAGGGATTTTCTGCATAAACAACCCTAGGCAAGATTGGTTCCCGGATGACAACAGTGACAAATCAAAAATTTAAAAGTGTAAAATGTGAGCAACTTCAATTAGATCCAGTTGGCAAGTGGTAATATTCTAGGCATGATTGGTACAATTTTGATGTGAAAAAAAACACAACTAAGTATTAGTGTAGAGCCAACGATGAGGCACTAACTGAAAAGGAATGCATATCACTTCGCTCAATGTGTTGTTGTTGTTTCTAAAATAAATTTGATCTACAAGCAACTTTATGAGCTGTAATTATATATATATATATATATATATATATGGACAAACGCAATCATACTTACCGAAGTCATTCAAAACAAACAGGCCTAAAACAGACTTTGGTGAGCTCAGCAATTTCGGATCAAGTTCAATCAGTTCAGCATTAGACACATCAGGTAATGAACCGACGGATGACAGACTTCGGGTTATAACTTGTAGTTGTTGTGTATTCCCATCATCCACAAGAATAACAAAATCTAGAGAAAAATAAATTGAATCAAATCAAATGCTTTAAAATATCTTCATGCTAAACAACAGAGGTATATGAATATTTTGTACATTTAATATTAAGACCGTTGACCGGAACCAGCCAAATGAAATGTATTTATTTATTTTTATTTATTCACACGCATAAAAACTTGGTACAATATGGCACCAAGAAGGATGCGCCATACAATAATAATAAAACAACATAGATCAAAAGTAAAAATATAAGTAGAGAACGGATAAAGAACTTCATTTGGAAGGAAAACAGTCATGCTTAACAAGTTCAAACAGTATTCGTTAACTATCACCGGGAAGTTAACAAATACTGTTTGAACTTTGATGCGGTTTTGTTCTCTGAACTGGATGGTTAGTTTGCGAAGCTTTCATCACCTTACTGGGTGACATCTTCAGAGGGTGTATTGATCATATCTTCACCCTCCGACAGATTCTAGAACATAGTCATTCCTACCGGCGTCCAACAGTCATTATATTTCTTGACCTAAAGGCAGCATTCGACTCTGTCGATCGGGAAGTTCTCTGGAGATGCTTGGCTGTTAAGGGAATTCCAAGAAAATATATTGCACTGATTAAGGCACTCTACTCGTACTCATACAGCCAGGTGAGGGCTTACGGCGAGCTGTCATCTGAACTGATGACTACCAGTGGTGTCCGTCAAGGATGCCCATTATCTCCTTTTCTATTCAACTTCATCATAGATGTGTTAATGGACTAAACCCTAGGTGACTTCAGCGATTCACGGATTGACTTGCTACCAGGGAATAATCTCGTTGACTTGGAATATGCAGACGATATAGTCCTTCTAGGCGAAGACGCTGACGAAATGCAGAGTCTTCTAAACACCTTGAGCCGCAATCTACGAATGTTTGGCATGCGAGCGATTCGCTCCCGCCAAATGCAAGATGATGTTACAGGACTGGACTACACTGACTCCTAGATTAGAAATAGGAAGTGAAGTGGTTGGTGGAGCACGTTGACCGCTTCACTTATTTGGGAAGTACCATCAGCCCCAACGGGTTGATCTCTGACGAAATCTCAGCACGAATACAAGGGGCTCGTTTCGCATTTGTTAGTTTACGCCGACTCTGGCGTAGACGAGATGTTCGACTATCGACCAAAGGGCGGGTGTACTGCTCATCAGTCCGCTCCGTCCTCCTTTATGGTTGTGAGACCTGGCCACTGAGAGTGGAAGACATGAAAAGACTAGCTGTCTTTGATCATAGGTGCCTGCGTTCTATTTCCCGTGTAAAGTGGCATAATAAGGTGAGCAACATGGAGGTTAGGCGTAGAGTTCTAGGTAAACAGGGGAAATCAATCGACGAAGTCGTGAAGCTACAAAGACTGAGATGGTTAGGACATGTGTTACGTATGCCAAGCCATCGCCTCCCTCGACGAGCTATGTTAGCGGATATAGGGTCAGGCTGGAAAAAAGCTAGCGGCGGTCAAACAAAAACTTGGCATCAGTCAATGAAATCCACAACAGTTGGTCTAAGCCAGTCACGTAGAAAGGTGTAGACTTCCAGGCTGGGGTCCTCGGGACGGTAAAAATCTATGGTTGGAAACAATTGGTGACATGGCTCAAAATCGTTCTCAGTGGCGCAGATGCATCCACTCCCTATGACTTATGATCTTCAATCAAACTGTTTTGTATTTCTTTATTACTCCTTTGTCTCACCCCTCTGCTCACTGACTCTATTATGCTTTTCTTGTATATTCTTCTCTTGCTTCGCGTGCTACACGGAATGTGGCGACTTGAACTTCCGCACATTTGTGCAAAGTCCTATGTCGAAAACAGACAGACAGACAGACATCTTCAGCGCATACTTCAATTTGAAGTATGTTTGAACTTGTTAAGCATGACTGTTTTCCTTCGAGATGAAGTTCTTTATCCGTTCTCTACTTATATTTTCACCGGGAAGGTACTGCGCTACATTTTGCTTATCAATAAAAACTCTCGTTTCTGTAAAATTTTATGCCAAGAGTTTGTGGAAACTATCACAATTATTTACCTTTCGAACACTGAATCCCAAAAATACAATCTTATTGACAGATAATACACATAACTAACTATTTGGATTTGTGGAATTTTTAAACATAAACACATCTATAATTGTATATATTGTTGGATTTATATGTTCAAGTTGCTCCAAGTCAGTGAGTTTATGGTTGAGATATCATTTTAGTTAACTGTGCTGAACTATATTGCATGTTGTTTTATTGTATAGTTGTTGTCGCTTTTTGCCCTTTTTTCTGTGAACTGTTTCCTTTGTTGATGTTGTTCTCATTGTTTGTCCGTTATTTTCTGATTTTGAGGGGAGCAACCCAAAAAGTTGCTTCTCTCTAAACTTTAACTTAATGTAATCATTCTTTCTCAGGCGTGAGGCTAGCAACCCCACCCTGTAAACAAAATTGCTAAAGAAACTTCAGTATGATGAACCTCTTTGCACCAAAAGAAAAAGTCTGTGTAGGAACATGGAACGTCCGAACTATGTACGAGACTGGGAAAGCTGCCCAGATCGCCAACGAGATGAAAAGATACGGAATACAAGTGCTGGGAATATGTGAAAGCAGATGGAATGGGAGTGGACTCACCAAATTGTCAACGGGTGAGTCAGTGATCTACTCCGGTCACCCAGAAGATAACCACACGCACACCGAGGGCGTGGCTATCATGATGTCACCAACGGCAACGAAAGCCCTGATACAATGGGAGGCGATTTCGTCCAGGATAATGACCGCCAGATTCAACTCCAAAGGAAGGAAAGTGTCAATCATACAATGTTATGCACCCACAAACAACGCAGACCTCGAAAAGAAAGAAGAATTCTACAGGCAACTACAGGCAACAATGGACAATACTCCAGCTGGCGACATGAAAATACTAATGGGAGACATGAACGCCAAACTGGGACCAGACAATACAGGAAGGGAACTCATCATGGGTAGAGAAGCTCTAGGAGAAATGAATGAAAACGGAGAACTCTTCGCCGACTTCTGCGCCTTCAACGAACTGGTGATTGGTGGCAGTGTATACAAGCACAAAGATATCCACAAGGCTACATGGGTGTCACCAGACGGGCAAACCAAAAACCAAATCGACTTCATCTCAATCTCAAGGAAGTGGAGGCGCAGCCTACTGGACACAAAAGCAAGAAGAGGAGCAGACGTTGGCTCAGACCACTATCTCGTACAAGGGACAATCCAAATCAAATTAAAAGCTTTCAGGGAATCAGGAGCTGCAGATAGACCACAAGCCAAGTTCAACACTCAAAAGCTGAAGGACCAGGCTACAAAGGACATCTTCATTGCAAGCATAAAGGACAAAGCCGAGACACAAATCAACACCAGCGAAAGGTCAGCGTCGAAAAGCACTGGAACAACTTGAAAACGGTGTGGAGCCAAACCTGCATAGAAATTCTAGGCAGAAAAAAGAGACAGGACAAACAGTGGCTCACTACGGACACTTGGAAACTAATAGAAGAGAGAAGGACAGTGAAGCAAAAGATTATCCAGTGCACTGACGAGCAACAAAAACAGGAGCTGAATGCAAGCTACAATACACTGAACAAAAGAGTGAAGAAGAGTGCCAGGGAAGACAAAAGAAAATATTATGAAACCATGGCAAACGAAGCAGAACAAGCTGCAGGCAAAGGAGACCTCGCCACACTCTACCAAACAACTAGGAACCTTTCGGGCAAACGTTCGACACAGATTAAGCCAATAAAGGACGACAATGGAAAGTCAATCACCAAAGAGGTGGAACAGAGAAAGCACTGGGCTGAACACTTCAAAAGACTTCTAAATCGTCCGCCACCTACAACGCGCCCAACAATACCAACAACGGAAGCAGAACTACCAGTGAACACTGACCCCCCGACGAAATCAGAAGTCCTGAATGCAATCAAGATGCTAAAAGCTGGGAAAGAAGCAGGACCAGATGGAATCCCAGCAGAAGCTTTGAAAATAGACCCAGAGACAACAGCGGACTTGATGACACCACCGCTGGAGAAGGTGTGGAAAGAGGGCAAAGTACCCGAGGATTGGAAGAAAGGATACTTATTCAAACTTCCAAAGAAAGGAGACTTAAGTCAATGTAAAAACTGGCGTGGAATTATGCTTCTGTCCATTCCAAGCAAAATACTAAGTCGCATCATCCTGGAGAGAATCAAACAAGCCCTAGATGAAAAACTTCGTCCGGAACAGGCTGGATTCAGGAGAAACAAATCATGTATTGATCAAATCGCCACTCTACGGATCATCATTGAACAAAGCTTGGAATGGCAGTCACCTCTCTATCTCAACTTCATCGACTTTGAAAAGGCCTTCGACAGCGTCGATCGAGAGGTCATTTGGAAACTACTTCGCTACTACGGGGTCCCATCGACAATTATACATCTCATCCAACAGTTATACGACAATGCTGCATGCCAAGTAATCCACAACGGGAAACTTACGGAAGCCTTCGAAGTGAGGACGGGAGTGAGGCAAGGCTGTCTACTATCACCAATGATCTTCCTGATTGCAATTGATTGGATAATGCGACAGACAACGGCAACCAACGAGGGAACAGGCATAAAATGGACTGACACAAAAGACTTGGAGGATCTGGATTTCGCCGATGATATATGTCTGATTTCCCACAAACTGGAAGATATGCAAGTGAAAAGTAACAAGTTGGCAGAAGAAGCATCAAAGATAGGACTTCACGTGAACATAGATAAAACAGAGGTGATGAAGATTCCTAGCCAACATCAACAGACAACAATCAGCATAAATGGGAAGAACCTGAAAGAAACAGCCTCCTTCACCTACCGACATGGGAAGCATCGTTCCAAATACAGGCGGAACTGACGAGGATATCAAAGCCAGAATCGGAAAAGCAAGACAAGCTTTCATTACCCTTAAATCTGTGTGGAGGTCAACAGCACTCACCATCAAAAATAACTTCTGGTTTTTCAACTCCAATGTGAAGTCAATCAGTCCTACTACTATACGGATCAGACACTTGGCGCGTCATAGAGAGCATCTCAAACAAACTACAGACCTTCATTAACAGTTGTCTTCGCTCAATACTCAAGATCAGATGGCCGGCCAGAAAAGATCAGCAACAGGGATCTCTGGGAGCGAACCAATCAGGAACCGATTGTGAAAAAAATAGGCTGAAAGAAATCGAGATGGATTGGCTGGCCATACGCTGAGGAAACCATCAAGTGACATCACTAGACAAGCCATCTCTCGAGTGGAACCCGAAAGGGAAGGCGGCGAGTTGGTCGTCAGTGCAAGTGTGACTTGGAGGAGGTTATGTGAAGAGGAGATGAAAGCATGTGGGCAGACTTGGAGCGGGGTGAAAAAGTTAGCAGAAAACAGAAGGCAATGGAGACGCGTGGCTGAAGCCCTATGTTTCTCCAGGAATTAAAGGATACAATAATAATAATAATCACCGGGAAAGGAAGAAAGAAGGAAATTGCAACATGTGTAATAGCACGCGATAAGTTTCATTGATTGTTTGTTGCTTTAATCAATTCATTATTTGAGGGCTGAGATACTACCCGGGCGCCCAGACCGAAGCAGATGGTTTTATTAAGGGAGCACCCCCGAGCCTTTGACTTGGAGTCTAATCCGCAAGGCAGCGGAGCACCGTCAGGAGCTGCATTCCCATGGTTTCCGGTGGGTTCATACGCCATTTGCTCCGATTGAATACTGGAGCCCATGTACCCCATGGTAACTGCTTTTAGTTTAACCGCTATCCGAACAACCTTCCTGATACGGTAGGACCTGCAGGGACAGAGTCCCAGTCACTTTAGCATGTTGGGTCATTACGGTATTCAAGCCCGACCACCACGACAAGGTAGCAGTTATCGTCCGGGCCAAATAAAATGATATATTATTCAGCTTAATTTATGCCTGCTTGGTTTAATTCCACTAAAGGGAAGAATTGAATGCATTCTCTCAAATATTTACTCCAGGGTTAACTGAAAACTACTTTGCCGGCATTGATATAAGAATAGAACTTGGACACTGTGGTAGAGTATAATACGATTATGGAGGAAATTTTATTTTGAAAAGGTCTCACAGTGTTATACAGTGATACAGTATTACTGATGACGTTTTGAGCACAGTTTATTACTACTCATAATCATATCAAGGTACTCAGACAACTTTCTAACTTCGTTTACATACATGAGTAACGAATTGATTTGACATATGAATCAATATTAAGTCTACTAGGCATGCGTGAAAAAGAAAGGAAGATGAAATACATTCGGAAATAATATTACTGTTGTCAATAAAATATAATACGATGAGAGATAAGACGAATGTTGTCAGTCTTTAAGATGGGGAATAAGATGTTCTGTCATTAAAATAAAATGAATAACATGCTACAGGGTGATATAACGTGAATTGAAATAAAACAAATTTTAACATTATTTACTTTTTTTTATTTTACGGGTAGTGGTATCTTCCATTCCTCTCGTATTTGTACTGAGTCATTCCTATTGTATGTGTATGTGTATCTGTGATCAAAGATTCAGTAATCTCTCTCTCCCACCATCTATCCATATTTCTTTTTAAAATTTCAACTCTGTCCCACCCAATTGTTGCATGATGTGCAATTGCTGAGTTTTTTTTCTAAATTACTTACCTTCATTGGGCCAACCATTCTGCATTCAGCCAAATTCTTATGTTCTAATAATCTGACTACCCCTAATCTACTAGCTTGGCCTAAATTTATTATGCTTGAAGGTAACACTAATGTCATTCTAGAAAACAACAATTCAACATGTACAACAGACAGATAAACGAACAGTGAAACTTTAAAAAAAGACAAAAAAATATTGAGACGCGTAAAAGCAGGAAAGGATGAATAAAAGTTAAAAAGGAAATAAAAAAAACTCAGCAGATAACAGAAAAGGTTATTGACTTCTAAACTTTTACGGTAGTCGGTAGTCCCATAACCAAAACGGCTCAGCATACACATAGTCAGTGAATTTACAAATTGATGTCACGTCTTGGTTTGTTCGACCTTAGCGATTCGGATAAAACTCTATAATGCAGGAAGCGTTGAACATTTCCTACTAACCATAGACTCACAAAGCTATCCACTAACGACACCAGAACAGAAATCGACACTTTGGAAGGTTACAACCTCGTAACAGAATAATTTTATTTCATATAACACAGTAACCAGCGTTCGTTTTTCAAACGTATCACCGAACACTTACCAACATGGTTTTACAGAGGAGAAAAACGATGTCCCCGCAGCCCCATCTTAGAACATATGATAGATTCCGGACACCAAGCTACACACCAAACAAACTTCAAAGTCGTCTACAGAGTAAGAAGTAGTCTTCCTAAAGGTGTACTAATCAGACTTCTTCAAACTGCAGAAGCAATGGCGATCCACTTGCTAAGCCCTGAAATCTGCATACAGAAGAAGTTCGTTCAATCACTACACCTGCAATGGACGTAATCTATCTTATTACCCGACAAGAAAATTTGACCTCATCTTTTTTTCTGTCTCTTCACTAGTATTATTTTCAAGTATTGGTTTTTGTAGGGATTTTGTTTGATTGCATGGAGGATTTAATCATGAGCTGACATCAGTTATTTTGTCTTCTCAATTGCAACATTTTACATTCTCAACTTTCTTGTTCTCTACCCCCACCCGATTTAATTTCTACAACCCACTACCACTGTTACTGACTAGGCCAACTGTCTGTCTGTCTGACTTGACCAACGCTCAATTTCTAGTCATTTATGTTATGTCGTCCAATATATTTGCTCAATTTCAGTACTAATTTAAATGGTATTATTCTCTACCCCACTTCTACTCAGTCTCTATATGTAATTACCTCTCTTGCTACCCTGACCTAAGTTGAAACATTTTAGCCAATTATATGACGTCATCTAACTTACTAACTCAATCTTACTTCAGTTGCTATCTAATTAACCTTGATTCTGTATGAGATCATTCTTTTATTACCTGATCAACTATCTAAACTTGACAAACCCCATGTAATTACACACACACACACACAAATAGTTGTATATAAATGCGATTGTACAGTTATGTGAATGAATTCACCGAAAAGAGTCTCTTCGCCGAACGTCTTCTTTTTTTTTATCGACTTGCTGATGATAACGTTCCGAATCCAATTTATTACTATTAATCATACCAAAGTGCTCACATACCCTTCAATTTTAAAATGGCAATAATATTTTTCTAATCTTCGCTATTGGTGTTCGATCATTCCTGATATGCGCTGGTGGCTTAGCTGTAGAACACTGGCCAATCAATTAAATGGTCCGGGGTTCAATCCCTAGCCAACGCATACCTTTGCCTCGCTAAGCCGTTAATAAGCTCTCTAAAGAGGGAAGAGGTTGGGTGTGAGGCTAGTAACTTCATACCGTAGAAATATAACCACTGCTACTGAAACTTCAAAGCTCTAGCCTGAATCCCTATATTACACTGGGAACGCAAAGGAATAGAAAAATTATATTGGTTAGCTTATGTTCTCATTATTTTTGTGCCGAATGGAAACAAAAATAACTCCCAAAATGTGAAGTGAAATTTATTGTACAATTGTCGATTTCACACCATCAGTATCTGTCGTCAAAGGCGAACTTGAACCATGAATAACTATCAGTCTGAAAGATCGAATTATACCTGAAGGCTTGTGTATCAGAGATAATAAAATTCGGTTTTCCCATCGGTATACCAAGGACATCTTCCCTATAAAATATTATACAGCCCAATTTAACACCCATTGACATTGGATTTCATTTTCTTTATACAACTAGAAAAGGCACAACAATACATACTCAAGTTAAACACCTACGCTACGCTTCAAAATCAGAAAGTTTTTTTTGGCCAAACATACTAATGTAGATTATATGCGGGCTTGTAGTTGGTAGTTATTGCCTCGCTATGCAGTTGGTCGGGCAAGTTAATTAATGTTAATCATTTCTAACTGTGTCAGCCAACTGGGATAACTATAATTTTACAAGTAGGTATAGAAATCCACACATGCAAACATTTTTTTTCGCTCTTCTGTAACTAACCATTGAGAAAACCAACACGTAAGCATTCCTTCATTGACTAAAGATGAAAATTTTCAAGTAGACAAAATTATATGAGACAATGTGATTCAACTACCACCTACCAGGGATATAATCTCCGTTAACATCACCAAAGGCTGAATAACCAAGTCGTGACCATGATGGACCAGCGTATGAGGCAGACAATTTTTTCAATTCACTCCTATGAAGAAATATTATTTTGTTTTATAAACTGAGTAAATATATATTACAAGAAATGTTAAAACTGAATTAGCTAATCAAATTATTACTCATTATTATGATTATTAAAAGTTCATCAATCAACAACTAGGCAAAAGTATGCTATGCCAGCTATGGACTTTTTTTTTTAATTTCACTTAATTTTTTCTAGCCGCTAACCAACAAATTAATTAAAATGAAAAACATAAAATCTAGTAGGCGAAATAGCTGTCTTTGATCACAGGTGTCTGCGTTCTGTCTCCCGTGTTACGTGGTATGATAGATTAAGGTTAGTGAGCAATATTGAGATGAGGATTCAGTCGAGTGATAGGTAGGGAGGTTGTGAAGCCAAATCGATTGAGATGGTTAGGGCATGGGTTACGCTTGCTATCATAGCCATCGATCCCCTTCGTCGACGAGCAGTGTTACCTGGCATAGGATGGATAAGGTTTGAAAAGAGCTAGTGGTGGTCAGGTGCAAAAATGGCATCAGTCAATAAAATCCACAACAGTTAGTATAGCCATTTTATTTCCTAAATTCATGTTAGGTGAATATTTTAATCATATTAACTGATTATATTACTACAATAGCTTTGTACTTATCTGTGGTGATTGACTATTTCTATCTCTGTATTGTTTAAATACTTGCTGTTGATTGTTAATATTTCTTATATGAATTGCATAAGAATTCCGCTAAATACAAATTCCTGGATTCCGCCCTCTCTGAGTTTTGTTTGGATTCTTATAATTCCGTCAGATCGAAATACTAATACTTCAATTACAATAAATTACTACAAATTGGCGTCGCGATGGAGCTAAGTAACCTGGGAAAATTTCCTCTTAATGGGTCTCCGCGGGAGATTGCTGATTACCTTGAATGCTTCGATGCGTGGTGCATTTCAAAGAATGTTCGGGATGACAAAATACCAGCACATTTCATTACTGCTATTGGGCTAGATGCATATAGCCTAGTAAAGACTCTGTCGTTTCCAGATAAACCAATTTCTCTGCCATATGGCAAGCTCCGTGAACTTCTTAAAGATCACTTCCATATAACTACTTTTGAGACGTGAGAGAGGGCTCAATTCAACAAACTGGTTCGTTCTCCCAATCAGAAGATTAGAGACACTATTCTTCAACTCCAAATACAAGCTTCAAAGTGTAACTTTGAAGATCAGCTGCATACTCAACTACGTGATCGTCTAATTGCTGGAATCAATATTCCTAAATTAGAGAAAGAGTTAATTCAGATTCCTTCTTGTACTTTTCAAACTGCTAAAGATGTATGTATTACATATGAAGATGTCAACAGTGAATACTCTGCTCCTAATACGTCAGTATCTGATGTCATGTTGTCCAAAGTCGAAAATGTAAGTGTTCATGGGAAGAAATCCAAATTGTCGTCCACAGGTAATAGAATGCAGCGAGAGATCAAAAACATTAAACCGTGTTTATCCTGTGGAAAGTTACATCGACGAAGCACTTGCCGTTTTCGGGGTGCTAAGTGCCATAAATGTGGTAAAGTTGGACACGTCAAGACTGTTTGCAGAAGTTCGAATACTTATGTTACTCAGAATCCTGATAATTCTTCCAATTTATCTGGTAAAATGCAGTCGATGTCTCTTTCAACTTTTCCCAATACTCAATCTCATCTAATGCGAACCTTCACTACAAGTTCAGACAAGTCTCATTGTTTTATAATTGATACTGCGAGTACTGAATCTATAATTTCTAAGAAAGATTTACACTCGATTTGTAAGAATGTCCAGATAGACCCTACTACTAGTTCAATTACAGGCATAACTGGTCATAAATTACCTCTTATTGGTGCTATTAACATTTCTTTCAAATCAGACAGTGGTAATTTTGTAAACATTCTCTTTCTTGTTAGTGAATATTATTATTATTATTGTTCCCTTGGGTTCCTAGTGCAACATAGGGCTTCAACTGCACGTCTCCATTTTCTTCTGTCTTCTGGTATACTTTTCGCCTGCATCTATGTTAATCCGTATTCTTTCAACTCCTCTTCACACGATCTTCTCCATGTCACCCTTGGACGTCACACACGCCGCTTCCCTTTCGGGTTCCATTCGAGCAATGGCCTGACGCGCGCGATTTCACTCAGCGGTTTCCTCAGCGAGTGTCCGATCCATCTCCACTTTCTCCTGCACCACCAAATACGTAATTTTGTCTTACCTCTTTCTTCTTTGTTTGTCTATCTCTTAATTGCATTATTTTCTACCCCCACCCTCTATTAAATCTCTACGCTCATGACGACTGTTGCTAACTCGATTTTCGTTTATTATTTTCAAGTGAATTCTACTCAGATTATTAACTTGACTCTCATTCATTTTTTCATTGAACCCTACCAATTAGATTACGTCACCCAACCTACTTTTGTAACTTTATTTTAGTTTCTAACCGATTAACGCCTTCAAAATTACGTAATCTGTTTGTCAAAAACTAACAATTGCATTAACACATCTTTGGAAATATTCCTTTTGTTGCCAAGACAAATTACTATAAATTTGCGATTTGTACAGCTTGAGAATGATATCGCCGAAAAGAGTAACTCTTTGCTGAACACTTTTTCTTTTCTATGACTGAATGGGAATTTTCAAGCTCCTGCATATTTGTTGGGCGATTGGTTCTTGCTTTGTTTGTTCCCATAATTCCTTGTTGGTGATTCTTTCCGGCCATCTGATCTTCAGTATAGAGCGAAGACAGTTGTTAATAAAGGTCTGCAGCCTTTTGGAAATATTCTTTGTGACCCGCCAAGTTTCTGATCCGTATAGAAGAACTGACTTGACGTTTGTATTGAAAATCCGAATTTTGTTGGTGATGCTGAGTGACGAAGATTTCCAGATTGATTTCAGGCTGATGAATGTGTTTCTCGCCTTCCCGATTAACTCGATTTGACATCCTCGTCCGCTCCTCCTGTAGTTGAGACAATGCTCCCTAGATAAGTGAATGAAGTAACCTCTTTCAAATCCCTCCCGTTGATGGTGATTGACGTTGGATGTTGTTGCTGTTGTTGGTTGGTTATTTTCATAACCTCCGTCTTGTCTATGTTTACCTGGAGTCCTGTCTTCGCCGGCTGCTTCTTCGACCAGTTTGTCGGTTTTCGCTTGTAAGTCTTCGATTTTGTGTGACATCAAACATAAATCATTCACGCGCGAAATCCAGGTCTTCTAGGTTCTTCACGTCGGTCCAGGATATTCCTGTCTTCTCGTTTCCCACTGTCTGACGCATAATCCAGTCCACCACAATTAGGAATATCATTGGTGATAATAAGCACCCTTGTCTGACTCCTGTGTTTACTCCAAACGCCTCGCTGAGTTTTCCGTTGTGGATCACTTGGCAGGTGCCGTTGTCGTACAGCTGTTGAATAAGGTTGATGAATATTTGGGGTACGCCATAGTACTCGAGTAATTTCCAAATTACTTCACGGTCAACGCTGTCGAAGGCCTTCTCAAAGTCTATAAAGTTGAGGTAGAGGTTTGATTGCCATTCCATGCTTTGTTGTGTGATGATGATGCGTAGAGTTGCAATTTGGTCAGTACATGATTTGCCTTTCCTGAATCCAGCTTGTTCTGGTCGGAGTTCTGTCTCCAGTGCGTCCTTTAATCTCTCCAGGATGATGCGACTCAGGATTTTACTTGGCGTCGATAGGAGCATGATTCCTCGCCAGTTCTTGCAGAGTCCTAAGTCGCCCTTCTTTGGTAGTTTCACGAGGTAACCTTTCCTCCAGTCAGTAGGCACCTTTCCCTCCTTCCAGACCTTTTGCAATAATGGAGTCAGCATGTCTGCTGTAGTCTCTGGGTCCGCTTTCAGTGCTTCAGGGGGTATTCCATCTGGTCCGGCTGTTTTTCCAGCTTTCAGAAGTTTGATTGCGTTCAAGACTTCAGCTCTCGTTGGAGGATTGGTGTCAACTTGCAGTTGTGTGCGCGCTGTTGTTGGTATTTCTGGACGGGTTGCAGGTGATGGTCGGTTCAAGAGTCCTTTGAAGTGATCCGCCCATTGTTTAATCTGTTTTTCTTCCTTGGTAATGGGCTTCCCTTGGCTGTCTTTTATAGGTTTCGCTTGTGTTGGTCTCTTCCCGGATAGAGATTTGGTTATCTGATATAGTGTCCTCAGGTCCCTTTTGCCTGCTGCCTTTTCAGCTTCAGTAGCTAGATTGTCGTAGAATCGTCTTTTGTCCTTCCTAGCACTTTTCTTCACTTCTTTGTCCAATGCTTTGTAAGTTGAGCTCATCGTCTCCTTCTCCTGTCCGTCCTTGCATTGAATCATTTTCTCTTTCACCATTCTCCTCTCTTCTATTAATTTCCAAGTGTCCGTTGAGAGCCATTCCTTGTCTTGTCTCTTCTTTCTTCCTAGAACCGTTGAACACGTTTCGTTGAGAATCGCCTTCAGAGACTTCCAATGTTCTTCCACGCATGATTCTTCAGTGCTGTCGCGTAGTGTTTCCTGCTTTGCTCTGACAGTTGCAGTGAAAGTGTCTTTTGTGGTTGTGTCCTTCAGTAATTGAGTGTTGAACTTGCATTGTGGCCTATCCCCAGCTATCCTCGAGGCTTTTAGTTTCACCTTGAAAGTCCCTTCTACTAGATAGTGGTCTGAACCCACATCTGCTCCTCTCCTTGACCTTGTGTCCAGTAGGCTCCGTCTCCACTTTCTTGAAATTGAGATGAAGTCTATTTGATTCTTGGTGTTTCCATCTGGTGAAATCCATGTCGTCTTGTGTATATCCTTGTGTTTGAACACACTACCGCCAATCACCAAATCATTGAAGGCGCAGAAGTCTGAGAAGAGTTCACCATTGTCGTTCATTTCGCCGAGGGCCTCACGACCCATGGTGAGTTCTCTTCCTGTGTTGTCTCGTCCCAGCTTCGCATTCATGTCGCCCATCAGGATTTTGATATCGCCATTTGGGACGTTGTCCATTATTGCTTGTAGTTGTCTGTAGAACGCCTCCTTCTTCTCTTGT